CTAATAAAGAAGATCAGATTACCACGTGAAGTGAAATAACTAACTTTGTGCACACAAGCTAAAAGAAAAATGGGTAAAGAACTTGAAATAGAAAAATTGAAAGGACTCGAAAACTATCAAAATTGGTGCTTTGCCGTTGAAAACGTTTTGACATATCGAAATTTTGAGAAGTGCATCGATTCAGAACCATCTAACAGAGAAACTGACGCCGGAAAATTGAAATCATGTCGTGCTATCCTGGCATTGAGTGTCGATTCTTCTCTGTATATGTATATCAAGAATTGCAAAACTCCTTACGAAATTTACGAAACGTTCCAAAAAATGTATGGTGCGTCCGGTATGACCAGAAAAACTACGTTGTTACGAAATCTACTATCCAATCGACTGGAGGATTGCTCCAGCATGCAAGAATATATTGACAACATTGTAAATGGCTGCAACAAATTGCAGGGCATTGGTTTTGAAATAACGGATGATTGGAAAACAGCAATCATTTTGACTGGATTGTCTGAAAACTACCAACCGTTTGTTATGACAATAGAAGCTTCGCCTACTGAACCATCTACTGATTCAATCATATCAAAGCTATTGGATAGGGGAGACAAAACATCAAAAGGTGAAGCATTCCTTTCGAAATCAAAGTTCAATAAAAAATCGAATTCCAAAAACACGAAGAAAAAGTGCGAATTTTGTAAGAAGAGACATTTTGGTCAGTGCAGAAACAAAGTGGAAACAGTTAAAGGTGCATTCGTCGCGTTATACACGAATAGCAACAAAAACGGCTGGTATGTAGACTCCGGTGGTTCAAGTAACATGACACCGAATGCAAATTTGCTGGAAGATGTGAAACGCTATACGAAAGGCGAAATAACTGCAGCAAATGACTCAAAAATGCCAGTAGTGGGCATGTGAAACCGCAATATGAAATTAAGTGGAACCGATATAAAAGTAAACGATATCTTACACGTGCCCAAACTGTCGGTGAACATTCTGTCAGTAAGCAAGATAGTTAAAATGGGAAATACAGTGCTATTTGACAAAAACGGCTGCACAATTAGAAATGCAAACGGAATCAAAATTGCTCATTGCAACGAACAAGACGGTGTATATCCATTGTACGAAGATTCAAATAAGTGCATGAGTGCAATAAAAAGTGATGATGTGTATTTATGGCACCGCAAACTCGGACATTTGAACATAAATGCAATGAAAAAAATGCGCGATGCAAGCGAAATTGGTTTGAAATTTCAAGGCGATGAATTGCGTATAAAGAATTGTGAAATATGTGCACGAGGAAAAATGCCGCGTTTGCCGTTTGGAAAAAGCGACTCGCAAGCTACTGAAATTTTACAATTGGTGCATGCAGATTTGATCGGACCGATGGAGACTGAATCTATTGGCCGTGCTAAATACATATTCACCATTGTTGATGATTTCTCTAGGAAAGTATTCGTTTATCCACTCAGAAATAAATCACAAACATTTGAAACTTTCAAAATATTCCGAGCATTCATAGAAAAGCAGACCAGTAAATGCATAATAACGCTACGATCAGACAATGGCGGAGAGTTCGAGTCGAATGAGTTCGAAAATTATCTCAGACAAAATGGAATCGAGCACCAGACTTCAAATTCTCATACACCCCAGCAAAATGGGAGAGCGGAAAGAATGAATAGAACGCTAATCAAGCGCGCAAAATGCATGCTATTTGACGCGGACCTGCCTAAAAGTTATTGGGGTGAGGCAGTGTCAATGGCAGCATATCTGATCAACCGTAGTATTTCATCCGTGCATGGGAAAATACCAGAGGAAATGTTCAGTGGTAAGAAAATTGACATCTCCGAATTAAAGCTGTTCGGCTGTTCGGTCATGGTGCACGTAAATAAACAAAACCGACGAAAATTGGATGAAAAAGCCACAAAAATGATATTTGTGGGGTATGATGAGCACAAAAAGGGGTATCGATGCATCGACAGAGATAATCGAAAAATGGTTATCAGCCGTGATGTAAAATTCCTTGAATCAAACTCATTGTCAACCGTCAAAATTAACGATCAAAGCTCCAGTGATGATGAATCTGAAAATGGTGTAGTATCTGATTACGAGGATTGTGAAAACCAAAATGAAAATAATATAAATGAAATTTCCACCGTTGAAATATCGGATGAAGACAATACTCGAAATGACGGAAATTTAACAATGGACGACGACGACAAGGATGAAGATTACGAACCAGTGGGCGATGCAGCTAATAACAGACGTTCCATGATACAAACGCGGTCTAAATCGGTAAATGAAGTTCCATTCCGATTAAACAATAATTTTGCATTTTTTGTAGAGCCAGCTACTGTAAAAGAAGCCGTCCAAAGCACAGAAGCTGCACTGTGGAAAATCGCGATGAACGAAGAGATTAAATCACTCATGGATAATAAGACCTGGAAATTGGTTGATTTGCCCAAGGGAAGAAGGACCATCCAATGCAAGTGGATCTTCAAAATCAAACAAGATGCCGACGGAAAAATAACCAAGTACAAGGCCCGACTTGTAGCTAAGGGTTTTAGCCAAAGGCCCGGTATAGATTTTGATGAAACCTTTGCACCAGTTGTCAGGTATGATTCAATACGTTTTCTATTAGCATTGGCTGTCATACAAAATATGGAAATACAGCAAATGGATGCAATCACTGCATTCTTACAAGGCGATCTTGAGGAAAGCGTGTACATGGATCAACCCGAGTGTTTCAATGATAACACAAACCGTGTATGTGAGTTAAAGAAAGCGATTTACGGCCTGAAGCAGGCTGGTAGACAATGGAACATTAAGCTTGATGCAGCACTCAAGCTCTATGGCTTTCGTAAAAGCACCGCCGACCCATGTATTTATTACATGGTCGATTTAAAATTAATCATAGCTATTTACGTTGATGATTTCCTCATTTTTCATAGATGTAAAATGGAGCTGGACCGAATAAAAGAATTTTTGCATTCCAAATTTCGAATGAAGGACCTTGGTAAGGCGCAAAGTTGTTTGGGCATGAGAATCAACCAACACAAATATGGTATTGATCTGGACCAAACCACGTATGTCGAAAATATTCTCAGACGTTTTGCCATGCAAGATAGCAAACCAATGGGAACACCAAGCGATACGAGCGAAAAATTATCGGTAACAATGATAAATAGCGAAAATGATTTAACTGGAAAGGTTCCTTACAGGGAAGCGGTCGGAAGCCTAATTCACTTGGCAAATTGTACGAGGCCAGATATCTCGTTCGCAGTGAATAACGTAAGCAGATTCAATGAGAGGCACTGCACACGACACTGGGCGGCAGTCAAACGTATTTATCGATACTTGGCTGGTACGGTAAATTTCCAAATACAATTCAGACGTGATAAGAACGATTGTATGCACGCACATGTGATTCGGACTGGGCTTCAGACCCGGACAAACGCAGATCGTGTTCAGCATTTGTCATTTTAATGGCAAACGCTGCAATTAGTTGGTTTAGCCACAGACAAGAAATCGTCGCACTATCAAGCACCGAGGCAGAATACATTTCACTATCTGAATGTGTAAAGCAGGTATTATGGCTACGAAAGTTAAGTGATGAATTGTATGGAAAAACCAACGCAACCATCATTAGGATGGACAACCAGAGCAGCATAAAACTCTCCAAAAACGATGCATTCAGTGGTCGCTCAAAGCACATAGACGTGCGGTATCACCATACACGTGACCACATCGAAAGGGGGACAATCAAAGTCGAATTTTGTTCAACCGATGACAACACAGCGGACTCGCTGACCAAGGCTGTTACAAAAAGCAAAACCGAATTTTGCAATATGAATATGGGTTTACGAGTCAGCTGTATTCGGTCACAATCGAAATAATGCAAAGCAATCTGCTGACAACTTTAAACATTTTTTTTCTTTTAAGTTAATAACCTTTCATATGTTTTCTTTATATTTTCAAATAATTACTAGTACGCAAAAGTTGGAATTGTCATTAACAACTGCACAGTCAAATCGAACGGTCATTAAATCAAGTATCACCGCACAAAAATCAAAATGGGTGGATCCGAATCGAAAAGCGAAAAGAATGTCGAAAATCAGGGACAAGTTCAAAACAATGTGACGATCGGACACACAGTTGATGTCTATAGCAACGAAATTGTTATTCTACTCAGCATCATTTGCGGAATAAAAATCATCGAACTCATGGTTTACCTATTCAGAAGCTTCAAACGAGATCTTAAGAAGAAGGTGTCTGAAAACCTGAAGAGTGTGCAAATTGGACCAGCACCAACCAAATGAACTGAACGCAATCAATCATCAACATAAACAAATTTAAAGATTTCAAGTTTGGCTTTAAAAATTATAAGTGATTAATAATTGTTTGTTTCTTTATCAAAATTTTAACTGAAATGTTGTAAATTTGGTGTGCTTCATCAATGTTTAAATATTGTAAACTCGTTGTGCAAAAATGAAAAATTGTGTTAAATTTAAAATTCATTTTGTGAAAATTTCTTATAAAATTCAATCATTGTAAAACGAAACTATATTGTAAAATGTCAAAATTAACCATTTATTGTATCAAAAAATCTTTTGGATTGTTTAATAAGGGAAGATGATGAGAATAAATGCATTAAGTTTAGTCTTGAGCTAACCGCCGTACTATAAAGACGTGTTGTTTTATTTGTCGCTTTATATGTAACTTGATCAGATGATTCCCAGCAATGCCAGAAATAATCACAGTATTGTTTATGATAGATATATCTTCATTCAATTTGTATCTGTCCGGTAGCGTCAACATAGATCCACAATCCAAAAGTAAAATAACTGGTTTCGATGCAATATCCAAACGAAGTTTGACATATGCAGAAAGATGAATAATCAGTATTGGTGCTTCAAGTTGGTTTTCAGTGCAAGAGTCATGGCACGTTGCACAATGTTTTGATGATGAATCAGGTGGACAATCGTGCCATTCATCATCTACCTGATTTAGTTTTCCGAATGAAAATGCGTTTGTGCACTTTGTTGGTCACCATCCGATTGCATATTAACATACGGGTTGGGAGAGAAGGTGTTGCTCGTGCTTGCAAAAACACGAGTTGGATACGAAGTGTAGGCGGTGTTGTTACCGCTTTGATTTGAATCCCGACCGTTTCCACCCTGGCTACGTCCGAAATTATTGCCATTCTGACCCGAATTCCGACCAAAATTATTACCGTTTTGATTTGAATTACGACCGTTATTGTTTCCGGTTTGATTTGAATTTCGCGACGATCCGTTTGATTGACGATTTTGAGAATTGCTCCATTGGCTCGAATTACCACGATTTGAATTTTCGCGATTTGTGTTCTCACGATTATTACCGGAATTTGTGTTGTCACGATTTGTTCGATCACGGTTTTTCTTTGCCAAATCGCTTTGTTTTTTACGGCATTCTTTTTCTGTATGCGCGCTTTTCGAACAGTAATTGCAAACCATCCGTCGCGATTCAACGGTTAAATTTTGTTCATATCGTTCAATTGTGGTATCGATTAATTCTTGCAAATTTTTTGTTGCGACATTTTTAATGAAATTGCGCAAGTTTCCGTCCAACAGACCGTTTTCAAAAGCCTTTCTAGCAGATCTGTCATGAATTGTTTCGAGTCCAGAATCTGCATTGGCTCCGAGAAAACTATTCATGTCGTACAGTAAATTTTTGCAACGATTCGCGAATTCGAACAAGGACTCACCGGTTTTTTGTTTTACCGTATTGATTTGAGCCAAGGTATCGCGCGCGGAATTAACAGAGTAATCTTTAACGATTTCAGATTTAATATCCGGCCATTGTAATTCGCGGATTTTATTCAAAAATGATTGGTTACATTTCGCGAGTTTGAGTTTAACATTGAAATTAAACCGTTCAATATTCGCCGGATTGTTATCTAACGCGGTCCATAACATGTCGGTTGTTGTAATGAAACGTTTGACCGAATCATTTGATTTTGTGTCAAACTCTGGAATGGAGCGTAAAATGTCCGTTGTATGCGTTGTAAACAAATTTTCAAAATTTGGAAACTGTTGGACGTTACCCGTTGGGGCCGGACGAGATTGCAGCAACTGAATGCTATTTTGACATTCAATTAAAGCGTCTCGCAGCTGCCGACAATTGCCATCCACAGTGTTTCTTGTTTCGATCAGAGAATTGTTCATTTGACCCACCTCTGATTGCAATTCACTTCGAGTAGAATCAACTGTCTCTCTCACACGATCTACGCCCGTCCGCAAATCATTGATTACCTGGTTTGTGGCTGACGCAAGTCTTGAGTGATTTGTTAACAATTCTCTTTGTGTGTCAAGCTCATTCTGTAGTATAGTACCACTTTGATTTTGAGCATTAACTGCGGCTAGGATTTTATTATTCAATTGATCCTGCGCTCGACTCTTTGCAAGCAATTCGTTATGCATTTGTTCGTACGCGTGCAGCGCTCGTGTAGTGAGGTCAACATGCTGTTTGAGTTCAGCATCTCGTTGATTTGCTCTTTCGTTCAATTGAGCGTAACCGGCATGTAACCGATCCGCTTTATCGCTAATGGCCTGAAATTCGACTGAAAGTAGCTTAAGTCTGTCAGTCCTGTAAACCAATTCTGATGGGATCGCCATCGTCAATACCTCGCATGTTGTTGGGAGCCGATTGAAATGCGCCAAAATCATCCATTTCCTTCTTATCTATTTCATCTTCGTTGTCAGAAAATTCACCGTAAAAAAGTTCCGTTGACCTCTCAGTGTGGAGAGCAAAATAGTCCAATTTAATTGCCGTTTGGCTTCGTATGTTATTTGATACCGTTTGATGAACTCCAACGATGTTCTGTACTGCGTTGAACTGAGCTGTGCTAGCGTGTGTGGCCCATTAAGACGTCTCGCCTCTTGTGTGTTGTGTTTACTTCAACGGTTGTAGCGAATGATGACTGCCTTGCCGTATGTATGTGTCTCGAAAAGAAAATTGCTTGAAGTTTTACAATTTCACAGGAAATGAATGTACTTGTCGAATGTATCTGCATGCAATGGTTTCCAAAATTCGCTATTGGTTCGCCCTGTTGAAATCACAGAAATTGTACCCATTGTGTGTCAACGATGATTTATTGGAAATACGATTTTGCAATTTTTTCGATGTGATTCGCCTTGTTGAATGCACAGAAATTGTACTTATTGTTTGTACTTATCAACGATGATTTAATGGAACGATTTTGCTATTATTTCGATGTTATTCGCCTGATTGAATGCACAGAAATTGTATTATTCAAATCGGAAGAGTGTTTACTGCGATGCTTCTTTGTTACTGTACTTTCATGAATTCGTCCAATGTGCGTAGAATTCGTTGATTTGATTATAGCAATTTGCATGTGATTTCGTGAATTTTGACGGCATTGCCGTCACACTTACAATCATGCCTTGTTGTGTTGTTCTTAAAATATATTTATGTTTGTGTGGTGTGGGAAACACTACATTATCTTATCTTTTCGAAAGATATCTTACCTTTTATCAAAAAGATAAGATGAAAATCTTGAAAATATCTAGATGAATTTCGGAAAATTGAGATACTATCTCAAAAGTATCTAGATACATTTCAAATATATTAAACAAACTCTGGATTTGACTGGCTTCGTAGCCACACCACAAAACTAAAATTCATTCTGTAAAAGCTATTGTTCATTAGAAATGTCACACTTTACGAATATGACAATGGTTTGTATCGGGCAACACTAAATGTTGTCAATTCTCAATAATTAAGGAGCTACCTACGTATGAGAACATTTTATCAGGAAACCTTTAAATAATAAAACATGTTTTGTTTCAATACAGTGAAATTGGATTTTACATTGGGCGCGTCAATTTATTGGGATTCCTGTTAAAATATTGCGATTTTATAAGGAAACCTTACAAATGAATTTTTTGAATAGGAGTTTTAAATTTGATGAGGTCACCATTGGGTACCGAAAATAAATTTTTGACATGAACTACCGCTGTCTTACCGTTTTCAGGAAGTGGAAACTTTGCGAACGCTATTTTGAGACAATTATTGTTCATCTCGGATCATGGAACCTTTGATTTTCATAAAGTTTTGTACAGAAATAAATAATTTGAAAATCACAATTTTTGAGATTTTTCGATGAAACTTCGTTCCACGGGGATGGTACCATTTTATGACTTAACATAAAATTTCCTTTTTCAGTACGTTTTTGGGATTCTGTTCTGATGATTTAAGTATAAATGAAAGTAATTTTGAGATATAGTCAAGCTTTGTGTTCAAACACATTTTTTGAAATTTTTGGGCCCTGTGCACGAATTTAGTTTTTTCTTGCAAAAAATACTGGATGTGATTTCTGGGACCATTTGGCATAGGTTCAACATTGATTTCGAAATATTTCACATTTTCGATACACTCTACTGTTTACTGTATGCAAAATTTTTGACCTTTTTGTTAGCAGGATAACTCTCAGAGAAAAGCAAACTCAAATATGAATCCCGATCTTGGTGATTGGGGGTTGCGAGGAATAGGCTGGTATTGTTTTTGAGCGATATTCATCCTTCAGTTAGGTATGCAAAAATTTCCTAGCTTGATAACTCTTTTCCCAGATTTACGTCAAAGTTTCAAATGTTTATTGGTTGGTTTTTACTTTTTGGCATGAGAAAACGAAATTCCATTTTATTTCTAGTTGGTGTCATATCTTGGTGGTCAATTAGAAAAGTACTTTGATTCAAGATATATGAGAATATTCAAAACTCTAGTTGATATAAAACTTGAAAAGTGAAAACTTGCAAATCTTATTTTCTTACCAAAATACAAAATTTCAATGCGAAATAAGGGAAACAGTGCAAACCTCCCATACAAAACTTCCGATTTTGAGCCAATAAGTTAATAGTTAAGCTATACTTCAAACTTTCAATATGTTATAAGACATACTTTTCCAAGCGGCTGTAAAATGGTTAAAAATGTAATCCCTATTGCTTGTACTTTTTATCAAAAAATTGAATGTAATAGGGTGCATCGATTATCTATTTTTGAAAATGTAAGAAACCCTTTGTACGGCTTTTTTAGACCTGGTCCAGATTAACAACTTTTGTTCTGGCACTTTAGCCAACACCTCCCTCATTTTCACCCCGCTCGATTTGAGTTCGGAATTTTTCGAATGAATTTTTTTTCAATAAATTTGTATGAAAATGAATTGATTGCTATACAGCGTATGGAAAGGTTGCATTTCAAAGCGAAACACCGCCATACAAAATACAGCAAAAAATGTATGAAAACAAACTTTGGTGTGCGACCGTATCATACGCTGTATTTATTCTAGAGAATTCAATTGGTTTTAGTATTGTTGTAGATAGTATTAGATATAATAAAAATAAAATAAATTAACGCCAAAATACACACAAAAATTAGAAAATTTTACAAAAATATAATTTCCAGAGCAATATTTTGCTTGGATTATTACATCTTAATTACTAGTTAATACCAGAATATAAACGGGATTTGTTAAGTGTACTGGTTCCGAATGTAAAAACAAAAATTCATTTTGTTGACATATACTAAACATAATTCTAGTCAACAAGACAACAACAGAACGAAATTATTTTTTGGCTTTGGTCATTTTTCATCAAATCCTCCGTGTAAAATTTCAAGTCGATGTGTGAACATTTAAGCGAAATTTTTTAGATTTTGTATGAAACCCAATGCTCTGATTGACGAATGAGTTCTCAAGAAAAGTTAGCACGGAAAAGTTTTGTGGCGATTCATGGTGCATTAGTAAATTGGGCATGCGGAATCACAGCGAACGGCAGTTCGCACGAGTGACGAAACCACTTTAGTGTGTTGAAAGTCGAACTCGCTATATATACACGTAATTTCCAAATCCTAACTTGGAAAGCCGTTCGCCACGATTGATGTATGGTTGGAAAGCCCTTGGGCCATAGATTAAGAAAAAACATCAAACTTTGAAAATCGGTCCATCTTCAAAATATGACCGTTTCAAAAAAGGGTAAAAAATCAGTTCCACGGCCATAGATGTTGTCCTACATGTTGTCGCCGACCCCTGAAACATCGATTTTCTGATTCTAGAGACCGATACTTTTCCAATTCGATTTTTTCGATCAACCCTTTCGAAAAATTTCGCAATTTAAAATTTTCATATCAGACAGGCCAAACCGTAGCCGAGATGTCAAATCACAAATGTCATTAGTTGTCCCTATCGAAATCTGCTGTCAAGCAAGTTATATATTAATTATTGTATTACATTTTGTTGGAGACTTATTTATTTAGAAATATATAAAAAGAATGTGAATGTGAACAAAAAAGATAAAAAAAATTAATATCGTGACGAATTATGTAATAAAATAAATATTATAATTCAATTACTCAGCGGCTAGTGTGATTTCATACGTCTATACCGCTGCAAAGCGGTACCAATATATACAAACACACAAAGGTCGACTCGCTTTGGATAACATTTCTATTTTTTACACCTAATGACGGCTCATCATTTTTGTTTTTATTTTATTAATAAAACTAAATTAAAAAATGTAAATTTTTTATGAATGCGATTGCGTGGTTTTATTGTTATGCTGTGCAGCAGCAGCAGGAATATATTGAGGTTAGGTGTCCTCCTGAGTCAATTTTATTGTATTATTTTTTTGTAGTTCTTTTATTTAATGCACGTTTGAAAAATTAACAAAAACCAAATTAGGAAAATTGATGTATTGTTTTATTTTATTTAAAATATTTTCATTTATAAGTTTCATCGTTGTTTCAAATTTTCTGTTTTAATATGATACTCTTTTGTTCCACATTTGATACAAATATCAGAAAATTTGGAACAACGATGAAACTTATAAATGAAAATATTGTAAATAAAATAAAACAATAAATCAATTTTTTCTCATTTGTTTTTTGTTAATTTTTCAAAAGTGCATTAAATAAACGAACTACAAAATAAAGAGTCTTACGGGAGTAAGACGAACTTTTCCGCACGGTGGTAGTTGCGTATTTTATTAAGAAAGTTCAAAATAACGTTTGTTCGATTTTTCAAGCCATTCAAGCGGCGTAAAGTTCGAGACCAAAAAATATGTTCCAACTTTGGCAACGAAATATTCTTTAATTTAATAGCAGAAGTAGCCAAGAAAAGATTTTTCACACTTTCATGATGAACCCATTTGTACGACATTTGAAAGTATTCTATTTTCTAATAAAACACTATAAAAAACATGTCTGAAGTTAATTTTGCCATAAAAATTATTTTTGAAACACTTTTCATAACTAAAGTCACAAAAAAATTGGATTTTTGTATGGGAGCCATGTCTGTATGCTACCTTATTGGCGTAAAACTTTGTACGCCAATAAGGTAGCATACAGACATGGCTTCCATACAAAAATTCAATTTTTTTGCGGTTTTTTCAAGGAAACTGTATCAAAAATTGATTGTATCTCAAAACTAACGTCGGATTCGGTTTTCTCGTGCCAAAAAACCCCCCAATGCATATTTTTGAGTGTTTAAGTCTACATTAAGTATGACTTTTGGACGAAAATTGGACTCTTTTTCATAGGTATCACTCCAGGCATGACATTTTTTTTCCATCAACCAAAGTCGCTCAAAAGCTAATGATTTCTA